AGTCTCGACGACGATTAAAAATTGAAGTATCATGAGTGAAATCAGCAACAAAAGAAAATTAACCCGAAGCAAAAGAAATATTTCAGGGCATTTGAAATGCTCCTAGTGTCTACCGAAATTTATGTTCGGTTTGAACTGATTTATTTATTTTTTCAATATGTTTGCAATTTTTGATAGGATTTATGATGGAGAGCTCGAACAGTAGTGTATAAAAAAATTTGAATTTATTAAATTCTTGGAAATGTGCAAGCTGGATATACGGGATATATACAGAGTTAAATTTTTATGACTGAAAAATTTTAATTTGGGGGGATATATATGTTGGGGTACGTGCAAATTGGGCATATACAGATTTTCAATTAAAAATAGATCATGATGTGGTCGAACGGGACCTCCAGTGTCATCACTCAATAAGAGACCGTGACGCCTTTCGTAGTAAGTCTTCAGGTCTAGCTCGTTCGATGCGTTCTGGGGCAGGATCTGCCCCGTCACGCGGCTATGCGCGAATCGGCACGTGTTCAGGAGAGCGAGCGTCCTGAAAAGCATGGGTTATTACATTAAAAGCTAACGGGAAAACCCACCTCGGATACCCAAAGGTTGATTCTAAGAACGCCAACGACGTCCTCATCGGCGCTCCACGGTCCAGAGCCGGGAGGCTCAAAACCGCCTTGAGCTCGTAGTGTGTGTATCAGCGGTCTTCCATGAGCAGGTTTACGCGATGATTCATTTTAACTAAAATTTAAGTTATCGGACAAAAAAAAAATTGAGAAAAGTAGTTTCTTTAGTCAATCCGTTAGTCACCCACCACAACCACCAAAAATTTTGTCGGGACAGCCACTCCGTCAAAGTATTCAACATGATCCTCGTGTGTCAATTCGACGCCGTAAACGTAAAATTGTGTGGAACGCCTACGATTTACACGACGGCACGGGCAATGCTCTAGAGAAACACTTGAAAGAAGCCAATATTCTCATTCCAATCTTTCAGACGGAACGCCTAATGCCAAACTATTCGAATATTCGGCTAGTGGCACATCCCTATTCTTCCCCGTCAAGAAATGGAAAACGCCACAGTGGGATCTCGCCTACGTCTAAACATTGAAGACGTTCATCTTTTGGTGAACGCCTACGATTTACACGACGGCATGGCTAATGCTCTAGAGAACACTTGAAAGAAGCCAATATTCTCATTCCAATCTTTCAGACGGAACGCCTAATGCTAAACTATTGGAATATTCGACTAGTGGCACATCCCAAATCTTCCCCGTTTCTTATCATAGTTCAAGGTATGGAAAACGCCACAGTGGGATCTCGCCTACGTCTAAACATTGAAGGCGTTCATCTTTTGGTGAACGTCTACGATTTACACGACGGCATTGCCAATGCTCTAGAGAAACACTTGAAAGAGACGAATATGATACAGTATCCCTACACTGATGTCCAGGTGCGACACTACAATATTGAAGGAAATAGATCAGAAAGTGCAGCAATCACATGTTTCACATCCGAAAAGAATCATGGTGGGACTGGTATCAGGTGATGCGTTCCGGGGAAACATTTTGAAATCACCATTAAATTTCAAAAATCACAACATTCAAAATGTCTACTTGGACGTTGGCGGCGTTACTATACCTAACCGGCCGATGAATTTGAACTATCCGGGCGATAAGTTTGCCTCAGCTTATTTATCCATGGTGGAAGGTTTGGGTCTGGCCAGCAATGACCGAAACGATGGCATACCAATGGAAGTAGTGTATACCTCCCTCCCCCAGGCATCACCTCTGTCGACGGCGCCATCGGCGTTTCACGGGCGTCCAGAGGCGGGACGCTCAAAGCCGCCCTTAGCTCGAAGTGGGTGCAGCGGCGCTTTTCCAGAGGCATATTTGCGCGGTTATTCATTTTAACTGAAAAAATGTCTACTTGGACGTTGGCGGCGTTACTATACCTAACCGCCCGATGAATTTGGACTATCCGGGCGATAACTTTGCCTCAGCTCATTTATCGGTGGTGGAAGGTTTGACCGAAACAATGGAATAACAATAAACATGTTCCAAAACGGATACACATTCTATGTCTTTGAGCTCTCGCCTACCGCAAACACTTCAATGTTCGATTTGGTTAAAAACTCTAACGTGGTCTTTTTAAAATTTTTGAAAAGGAAATTCGAAAATTAGAATTCTCGTGAAAATTTGTACAACCTTTGAGTTTTTCTAGTAGAAAAAAATATGACTGAAAATTTTTGCGCCGAGGAAAAAAAGCCGATGCTCGGTTTGAAAGGCTCAAAGCCTTTCTTTACTTTAAATCCTGAGTTTCAAGATATGATTCTGTTTCTTTCGTTTTATTTATTTTTTTATCTGTTTCAATATTCTCATAGAGAGATTTTTTTGGTGGAAAGCACGAAAGTTTGATATTTGACTTGTCGGAAAAAAAGTTAATAAAGATAACAAAAAGTAACTTTATTTTTAAACAGAATGAACTTATTTTCGGCTATTTTTTTTTGTTGAAATTTCGAAACGAAGGTTTAACGAAGTTACAAAAAAACTACGAAACAAAAAAATTGTGAAATTTGATGAAAAACGAGAATAAAACAAACGCGCGCCACTGCACACTTCTCTCAAATTTTACGCTTGGAAATTTTTTTTCGCCTTATAATTTTTATCTTCGTTTACTTTTGATTAAGCTCATTTCTCATAATGTTCTTGATTATAAATTGTTTCTGAGCCTTTCCGTTCAGAAAATTAGGGAGAAAATGACTGGAAATAATCTCTGAAATGAAAGAAAAACCGATGAATACGATCGGCTTGAAAGGAGACCTTTCATTGATTTTTAGCTGTTTTTAGATTCAATATATGTTTATTTTTGATACATACGCCTCCTCTATTGATATAAAAATCGTAGAAAATATAATATTCCTATAATTTGTTTTTGTATCGTTTGGATTTTTCATAAAATTGAGCGACTGAAAATTTATTTTTAAACGTGAACCCGGAAGCATTCTTGTTTTTTTATTTTTTTGATTTTTTTCCAGAAAAAAATCCCTCCGATCGTCAGAATGATGTTTCCGGCCTCTGTAAACGAAACTCACAAAGATTAAAAGGTACCTTTTTTCATCCAAAAAAATAAGAATTTTGAAAAAAAGCATCAGCCATGTATTTTTTTGATAATTTTTTTGAATCGTGCCAAATTTAACAAGAAGAAATTGAAGTTTTGCTCCGAGATTTATGCTCGTTTTTAAAAAGTGGTAATCCTTTTCAATTATTTTGCCCTGAGCGAGTAGTTCAAAAAAAGCGAATATTTTTATTTATTTTTTTATTTATTATTAGTTTCTATAAAGAACGCTTTGAAATATTTATTCAGTGCTTAATTTCAAAAATTTTTTTGTGGGAATCGAATGAAAGGACAATTTCGAGCCGTTACATCCAGGAGAAGCATTTCATTTTTTTGATTATTATTATTTAATAAATTCTAGTGAATGATAATTTTTTTTGAGGCTTGATTTGAAGCAAAAACATGGAGTCGAGGCTTGTTTGTCCGTTTAACGCTGTATTTTATTCAAGAAATGTTTTTTTCAATTTTTTTCCTTTCTTTCCTATTTTATTATAATTTCATTCGATTTAAAATATGTTTATAACCGGTCGAAAAAAATTCGAAAATCCAACCTTTTTTTTCTTAAAAAAATTGCGAGAAGCTCCAGTGTTATCAAATTTTTGGACTTTTTTGTATTATTTCAATCTGAATAATGCCGATAACCACCTTTCAGTTTCTTTCCGATTTTTTTGCGAAATATTATATATTTTACGAAAATTTTTATTCAAACGATTGCTCTTTTTTTCGCTAGATTTTTTTAATTTTACCACTTTCAAAAAAAATTTTTACGCAAATGTGTCGTAGTTTGAATATGGGAATAACTTTTTATTGAGACTCTTTATCATTTATGAAACGATTCCCTGTTTCCATCAGATTCAAAAAAAGTACGAAAAAAATACAAAAATTAACTAATAAAAAAAATATTTAAATTTAAATAAATTCGTAATTTGAAACTCGTGCAAAATTGTCTGTTTTTCAAGTCGTTTCATTCAAAAAAATGACAGAAAACGGCCAAAAAAAATGCTCCGAGGGGAAGAAAAAAACCGACAATTATGGTCGGGTTGAAAGGCGAAAAAAAACCTTTCTTTTTAATTTTTTTGGATTTTTGAAAAAGGAAATAAGAGTATATTTTTTTATTTTTGGAATTGTTATTGTTATCATCATTTGCTCCTTTCACTTCGGTGCAATTCAGTTTTTTTCGGGTTTGACTTGGATATTATGGATTCCGAAAAAGACACCTCAAAAACCTATTCTCATTACCCGAAAACTTGAAAATTTGGAAAATGATGCTGAAGTGTCTAATGTTCCAAAAAACCCTCTAAAAAAAAGGAGAAAAAATTTTGAAGCCTCGGGCAATATTTTGCGCTATTTTTGCTATCGAAAAAAGCCAGCTTTAAATAACAAAATGTTATTTTTAGCTTTCCGAGAAGATAAAAAAAGCCGAGATTTGGGATTCCAAAAGAACCTTCCTCGAAAGTGAGAAAAAAATCGAAAAAAATGTGAAGATGTAACAGAAAAGAAAAATGTTTTTTTGAAAAATCAGTTCAAAATTTGAAAAAAATATGATTTCTTGACCGTACATGCACCATTTTTCCTGTTAATTTTTATATTTTTCACCCCTTGGATTCAAATTTTGAAAAAAATCTTCAAGCTCAATTTTTTGGAGGAACCAGCGTTCGATAAATTCGAAGCGGACCCATTCCACAAATTATTTTTTTGAGCTTGAAGTTTAGAATATATCCAAGGTTTTTTTGAAAATATTGAAAAATGGTGCATTATAAGGTCCAAGAAAAAAATGAAGAAGGTTGTAGTTTGAACTTGATTTTCAATGGAGCATATTATCTAGAGAAACTTGGTATTTTTCAAACAATTTGAATTTTAAATGATGAGAAACAACTTGAGAAAGAAAGAAAAACGCAGAATGAACTAGGAACGCGTCGTCTGCGCCTATAGGAAAGGGAGGAGCGTTCTGCGTCCCTATGAAAAACAACTCACGTCCCTGATATCGATTTTTGCCGATCCAGCGTCTTGCAAACGGCGTTGGAACGCACCAGAACAGTTAAGGTCATGGATAGAAAAAAAAGAAAAAAAATTTAATTCATGTTGCAAAAAGACACGATTAATAATATAATTTATTTACAGGCAGAACGAAATAACATGTGCAAAAAAGAAGGAAAGAATTGGTATAAAAGCCTGAAATAAATAAATAAAAGGCATTTGAGGCCCTCACGAGCCCCCAGTATTAAAAGATGATGGGGTAAGAATAAGAAAAGAGGATTGCTCAAAGTTAATAAAGAAATATTAAATAGAAAAAAAAGCATTATAAGTTATGACACAGTGTAGCACACGTAAAGGGGAATTTAATTGGCTGTAATGATATAGACAAGCATTAAATGGATTAGAGTAAGGATGAAGCACGGGTACCTGTTTTAACGGAGTCTGCTGGGAATAGATCCAAAAAGGAAATTGTTATCGAGGGATAGGAACAAAGACCTGAAACGATCTGGAGAAACATTGAGGTTTCCCAATGTAACCAGTTTATTCCAAAGAAGGATGAACGTCTCAAAGAAACTGTTGAAACGGTTGAATTTTGGAAAAATTGAAATTAGTCAAAATTTTAGGCTTTTCACTAATTGAACGCGAAACATTCAAACTTGTGACTTGAAATTTCCAAAAAATTTGCTCAAACAAGCTGTGAAGGTTTATCTGAAGATCCATCCAAGTTGCAGCCCACGCCAGAATCTAGTTTTCGAGATAAATGATTTTGAAGGTCGAAAAGCTAGGCCTAAAAAATTGAAAAATCATATTTCAAAAACTAGAATTTTCCGCAGAAAACGACTATAAGTGATCTTTATCTAGACCTTTAGAGAGTATTTTAGAAAATTTTAAGGAAATTCCAAACCCTTGTAAGGACTTTCACAAGTTTTCTGAAAGTTTCCATTTTCTGAATAACTTTTGAGGGGTTTTATAAGGGCCCTTACAGGGGGAGAAAATAGGGCCCTAAGCATTTCTTGACCATGAAAGGTTTGAATTTTTCCATTTTAAACGAAAAAAAAAGTTGATAGAATGGGAGTCGAGTGCATGAAAAAAATAATTTTTGTTTTTAGCTGTAATTTCTGGATCAATAACCTTTTTAGATGGTTTTTGAGTGAAAACTGATTTTCTGTGGGGTTCCAAAGAGTTTACGGGCAATTTTTTTTGATTAAATTGATTTTGAATCAATAAATTTAACATGTAAGCTCCTAGTGAAAAACTTGATTTCCTTACACGGACAAAGTCCAAAATGCCTCAAAGGCGCCTTTTTCTAGACCTTCCTGAAAAGGACCTTCTAACTAGGGAATGGTCTCCATTCGCAGTGGGACTTCTGAATGAGACTAGGTTCACTAGATGTAGTTTTTCACGCTGATTCCAAATCTGGTCTCAAAAACTGCCCTCGAGACCTGTGAAAAAAGTTAGGGGCTCTCAAAGTCGAAAAATTTGATGTCTCCGATTGAGCTCATTTTTGTAGGGTATATAGATCTTGTCCCTCTGGTCACGAAAAAAAAACCATCGAATTTCTCTCAAAAAAATTTCGGAGCCCAGATATGAACTTTCAAAGCCCCGCCTAACACAAGAGCATGCGAGCGCGGTGTCCTATCGCGATCCGACGGCTGTCGAAGCAAGGGCAGCGAGGAGCAGTGGTAAGGCGGCGGACTGGGGATCACGAGGTCATAGGTTCGGTGCCCACGCTGTGCAAACTTTTTTTGCAATTTTTCCTTTTTTGGATACTATCGCCTAACTGCCCCTTTTTTGAGTTTTGAGGCGTATAAACA